TCGTATCTTTGTGGTACGTTCGATTTTGTTAACCAGCATGCGCACCCATTCGTTGATCAAGTGATTTAAGTGGTCAGAAATGACATTTGCCCAACTAAGTGAATCTCCCAAGTAAAAGGCATGCACCTATGTAGTAATGTACTTTTGTATGGTCTGTTATCAGGCTGATTTTGACTTTCAGGCTTGTTCAAGGGACTCGTTCCAAGTGTGATAAAGTCTGCCTTGGTAAACGCTTGCGGATTTTTGTTTTACGAGGAAACGTGTAAATTTCTGAGACTCGCACACAACTATGAGTCTACGTAATTTGTTGTTTGTACATATTTTCGAGGAAGCGCACTGGTTTGTTTATTTTCTTACTTTTTTACTGAATGTTGACAAAAAATGATAACATGACAATAAAATGATATGTTGTTCGAAAGCTTTTTACGCTTGCTGCTGTAAAATAGGTTAGAACTGACGCAATGTCGTTACTGGTGATAAACTGACTATGTATGGGTTACACGGTAATACGTTACTAACGAAAGCAGTAAACGCTTTAGCAAAAAGGGAGTAGGAATGATAATGTAGCCGTGTGGCTACATGTGAGAGCGAAGAGGAGGGAAAATTGTTCTGAACTGAGCCTGTCGTTGTTGAAAACGCATGAATTCATGACTGAGCAATAGGTGCGGACGCCAGTTTCCGACGTATAAAAAATGATACTCTGAGACTGCTCACAGCTCTGGCTTGATGCGGCACAACATGTAGGTGAATAAACTGTACCATAAAACGACATAAAGCCTTCTCTGAAATAATTTTTAAAATATGGCTTAAAACGTTTAAAAAAATTCGAACTCAAGTTCGCATTTTATTATATACACATTCAAAGCGATGATATATTAGAGGGACAGACAAAAATGTAAATTTTTACTACCTGAAAATGAGAATACCAAAAAGCAGTAATAGCATTAGCGAAGATCTGTCAGGAGAAAACTGTATTTAGCAGATACAAACTGTGCCAGTACATGCAAACAGCGGTCCAGTAAAAGAAGCATACAAGCATAGCTTCAGATGCTCAAGAATGAGTTTAAGACGAGATTCTGAATGCGAAAAGTAAAGGGAATAAAATAGCCTATACGACCACACTAGCATTCACATTTCAGACAACACAAAACGTAAAATTTACAAACAAACCAGTTACGAAGCATCTTACATACCTCAAAAAACAGGTGAGAATAAAAATTAACTAAATGTATATAAAGTATTATGCGCAAATTGATCAGTGAGCGAGCAGGCGACCACCTTCAAGTCGGTTCCATTTTCTTCAGTACGGAGAAAAGCGGTTGACAGCACGATACAGGGCGGGCTGAAATGGTGCTGGTCATTTAATACTACCAATTAAAGTTATACAAAAAAGATTGTAATGGCAGAGCCTGCCGCGGATGGGTAATAGGCTAAAGATGTGAATCAATTACACGTTTCGCTTTTTTGGTATTGGCACATCTTTAACGGAATAATGTAAAGCAGACAAAAAGTCAAAAAGGGCCATCTTTCGAAAGCTTTATAGCGGGTCGGAAATTCAACTAGGTCATTCCCTGTCATAAATACATTCACTGGGAGGGCCAGAATTACAGATAGTTTGGAAAAACATACTTGACATGTGTATCGCTGGTCTGCGGTACACTGGGAGCGAATAACGTACTTCAGGTATCTATTATAAGTAGAACCCATCGAACAACGATTAGGATCAAGTATGACAAAGAATCCAAAATCTCTCACTATTCAATTATGCACTGCAACGTAACGAGTAGCAGCTCATCAATATCATGATTCATACGGTACCAAGCTCAAGCTGGGAGATGGGAAAAAGTTTATGGCTGATTAGTAGCAAAGACTTGCAATAATATCGGACATTCAACAGAACAGAAAGCAACGGCAAAGGGATGATGCAACCGTATGAAGCTTTCAAGAATTCAAGACAATGACAGCTCGAAACCTACGAATGTCTGTTTAAACCGACAAAAGTTAAGGAATGCCAAAACAGGAAGAATACCAAGAATCGATTATATGGTGATTTCTATTTTTACCTATAACTGACTCATACAGAATCCTGCCTTACGCAATGGCCAAATTACATACAAACCCGGTAATCCAGTTGGAGTCCCTATCCGTCTCCACGGAGCAGTTAATTTTGAAGTCAACAGACTATGGGATTTACTCTTAAAGCCGGCTGACTGCAGGACATCGGAACTGTATACTGTGCA